TGCCACGCACACAATGTTTCAAAGTGGTTGCTATGTTGCCCTTTATTTGTGTATGTTTGCGATAAGTGTGCATCTTTACGCAATGCCGTTGGCCTTGCTGTTTGATATATATTGTGCCGCAGGCCCGCAGCACGTGACGGTTTTGTGTGCCCTCCTATGAAAATCATATGCCCTCCCTTTAGATTTGTTCTGGCGCCGGGTCTGCGGCCACGCCAACCAAGCACAATTGCTGTAACCACACCTCCAGAACCCAACCCACTCATTTATGCTTTAAATAACTCTACCTGTACAGGCTTGCATCTATCTTGTAGTCCAATACTAACTGCACAATATTTACTGACACTGAGCTGTGAAAATATAACACTTATCGGGGGACAGGGCTGCTGAGCCTAGAGATGGATCTGTTGGTCCTGGCACCAGGGGGAGGGACAACTGATTTAGTATGAATAGCTGCTAAAAATGTACCTGCATTTACTAACTGTCAGCTGAAAGAGGAGTGACATTAAAAACCTGTATAGATATTAACAGTACTTAATGTCAGCTTAGTAAAAAAAAAACATAACAATTATTATTTACAATGGACTACGCGTAGCTAACAGACGCATTTCCACCACTCATAGACCACACCCACCTTTTCTTTGAGAAACTGGGTGACATACTGTCGCCCTTTAGTCCCTCTCTCTTGTCTTTCTCTCTTTTCTTTTCTCTTTTGAAAGCCTGACTTTGTGAGTCGTTGACACATGGTACACACGTAAGTACTAGCATCCCTGCTCCTAGCATGCTCTCACTCTCTGCTAGAAAGTGCCGGCGGTGCTGCACCGCGTTTGGAGGCAGGACCAAACCATTACATGTAAATAGAAGGGGGTGTACAGAGGCTTTGGGTAATTAACTTTTGGAAGAAAATAAGTTAAATGAATTGTAAGTTTAGTGAGTACATTATCAATATAATGTCCTATTAATGTTAATTATTGATGAATGATGAAAGGTTGCTAAAACATTTAATCTTAATGTTCTAAAATAGTTTGGGCCCCCGTGGTGAGGGTGTTTGGGGTGGCCAATAATGTGGCCAGGATTCAGTTGGGGGTGGCAGTGGCCACTCCTAGCCACCCCCCAGCTCCGCCACTGGTTGTGCAGAGACAGGGTGTCCAATGTTAGTGGCCAGCTGATGGCAGGGAGTTGACGGCCAATGGCTGGAGGCTGGTAGCAAACAGGCTAGCAGGCTATGGTGCGGTAGTCTAAGCAGGAAAAAGCAAAGGTAACGGAAAACTACTTGAACAAAGTAGCGATTCACTTGGAGCCAATATTGACAGATGTTATATATAGCTAACCGATGTATAAAGAAAAATCAGATCAAATAGGTTCAAACACGAACTGAAAGTAGGATAGCGGTGGAGAAGCGGCGAAAAAACCACGCCAGCGTCCTCTCCTATCGGCAGAGTGTAACAATGATGTTGTAGTGTCAGGCGGCTTCCCAAGTGCCATTACAAGTGCTTGGCAATCAATAACCAGGCAGCTGGGTTCCTGAAGGAGCACATCTGCAGGTGTTTGGACATGTTTTGTCAGTATATTTGCTCAAATAGATTTGTTGGTGGAATTTAGACTGCCGTTAGTTGCGGCCAGAGATGGCGGGATGGGCATGAGTTCATGCTGGAGGACATTTTCCAGGTCTATCTTACGACCTGCTCTGTAAGCTGTGACTAGCCTTTGTAGAATCTGCCTGTCCACTTTGATGGTGTTTTGCTTGTTCTTGGAAAGTTGCACGACTTCATACAAAGAGGCAAATGTCTTGGCTTTGTTCTTTCGAATGGGCGACTTCAGTCCCAAGTGTTGGTCACTATCTGGAGGTTCACAAACACTTTCATTTGTGCCTGTCCAAGGTGTTCTGCACCAAGCAGAGATTCTTGAATCTCCGGTGTGACCACGTCCTTGTTGATTATGTTCTTGAGTGTGTCCCCACCATCTTGAAACACACAGTGCTCTTTCAATGATACACATATTTTGCTTTCATCCCCGTCATCTCTCTCCATTCTACTCTTTGTGCACTCAGTGTGTGTGTAGTGTACTCATCGTCTTCATCATCTGTTGTCAGTCTCAGCATTACTTTTGTCTGAGAAGCTATGACTGTTCTCAGATTATACGACAATGTCCATCTACTGAGGGATGTTGCTATCCTGGTGATGCCCACTAAGCCTCCACTCTTTTAGCCCATAGCGTTTAGCCACTCAGTACTTTGATCCGCTGAAACCTGATTGAAGCGTCGATCACTGCGTTTCACCACGAAGTTGCCTTTCTGAAACTCAAGGAGGATTTCTGGTGGAAGAGCAGACATCTCAGCCAGGTACACAGTACCCCATCTGGCGTCGTTTATATGATCGTACCTGAAGAAGAAGGGCAGCATACGTTTGAAAGCATACAGGTGGAGATCCCACAATCCATCACGTTGCGCTCTTGTGAAGCAGAGTACGATGCTGACCATAGTCATGTAGTCCCACCAGAATGTGGCATTCGGTCATCAACTGCAAGCGATGCAGCAAACTCTTTCATGGGCTGCTGGAATCTGTCTGTAGTCAATTTGTCGACCATCTGCGCGATGTGGTCAGCATCTACGGATTGGCAGAGATCTGAGAGTTCAGCTCTCAGTGTAACATCAACCTCATCCAGATATGTGTAAAGCTGTGGGAGCAGTAGCTGCCAAAGAGCCTGTAGGGTAAGTGTGTGGGTCCTTATGGCACCTGCATACCCCTTTCCTGCCATGACATGCTGAGCAGCATTTGCTCCTAACAGATCACACTTGACCCATAGCTCGCTCAGGCCAGAATCAACCATGTGTTGTCCTATCACACCCAGGAAGTTCATGACCATGTGAAGGCCTCCAAAGCAAGGGATAAGTACGTCCTTGTATTCTTCTACTGACCACTTCAGTCAACTTCGGATAAAGTGCCTCGCCCACTGTCAGAATGACATGCTGTTGTTCCATTGATTTGGAGATATGAAGCATTCGCTTGACAACAGTGGGGAAGGCAAAGGTTCCATTACAGCACATTTGAAACATTTAACCTCAAAACAATATACAAAGTAAGTAAAAGTAGCCTGATAATAATAATAATGGCTGAGTAATTATTCATAGTTAAAAACTACTATTTTTGCAATATATATGAGATCTAAGCAGTTTACATCTCAAATCTGCATATGGCATCAGATTGCCCATGTAGGAGAACTTACAAAAGCACATTTAATTCAAGTTTGTACTTTGTTTAGTCAAAAAGATATACTTAAAATAGATTTCAGGCTGGCGGTGGCAGCTATGTTGGATTTCTCAATTTTGAGGCATTTTGGGAAATTTTTTAGCTTCATATACAGCAGATTTGGATGCAGCACCCCTTAATACCACTAAAAATGTTGTATAGCATAAATAAACACAAAATGCCTTCGGGGTTCTGATTTTGTGAACATTTACCCTGTCTATTATGTCTTTTGACATAATAAAAGTTCTATTGTACCAAACTCTGTCTGCCTCCAGTGATTTCTTCAGAACCCATTAGAATTGCATTATCACGAAGAAAGTTAATAAGTTATAATGTTGAGAAGGAGGTCCAGACTTTTTCAACCAGCCTAGTCCGAGATTCTCAATCTTTATTTATTTATATAGCACATTTAAAACAACCTTCAGTTGACCAAAGTGCTGTACAGGCAGTAACTACAATATTAAATAACACAATGGGAGAATTAAAAACATAATAAAAAGCACAATAACTAGAAACATATACAAAATAAATAAATAAAAAACACATACAAATATAAAAATGTAATGTTCAACTAGTATAGTAACCCAAAAACAAATCTATCAAGAAAACTCACACACTCACCCTTACCTGATCTGCTAATAAATCATCAGACTGTACTCCAGTCCATGTCAATGTTCACACATTAATAAAGAAACAGTACATATGAAAGCTCAAAGACCTTCCCACTTTCTGCACATTTTAATGTCAGGATTTTCTCAAGTCCAAAATCAATTGGGATATTTCGGTATTATAGCCATTTGGTAAATTACTCGGATATATCAGGCATGCTCATAAACCCTTATGGCCTTATAACAGGAGCAATCATTTTGCCTTTACGTGGATAAAAGGTTATGGCAATAAGATCATATGTTATATTCTGACTTTCTATTAATATAATGTGAACAATTTACTACATGCCAAAACATCAAGCATCTTTGACTTTGAATTAAACTCTGAAGAATGACAACTGAAAAGTCTGTGTCACTAGCTAGTACACACACTATGAGGCATAAGCTTAGTTTCAAACTGTCATCTTGATATTTAAAGTAGAAACACATTTCTCATTCAATTTAATAATTAAAAAAACATAGTTTTTAAACATTATAAAAAATACATACCTGTGAACACAATATACATTTGTAAGACTCGACAGGGATTTGTAAAATAAAAATAAAGGCCTGCAACAAAACTATATGTCTCTTCTCCATTCTTTACCTACACAAACACATGCTTCTGCACAAAGGTCCAAAGGCCTTTCACAAGGTGCTGCTTCTTTATCTTATTCTTAGCTTAAAACACTTTTCTCACCCAATTGTTGCACTGCTCAGCTATTTTTCTTCACTGTCAGAAATCAGTGGACAACAACTGAATTCAGGTCTGCAGAAAATAATGACATGACGTCAGTGATGTTGACAGGCACGCCTCCTGCCTTTCTGTGTCTTGAGGACACCACGTATTTCCTGGACTGGATTCTTTACAGAAGCGACGAGGAGGTTTGGGGAGAACAAAAAGTGCATAAAATACAACACACACATGCAGCTAATGTATCTGCTTCCAGAGCCTCTATCTCTCCCTCTATCACACCCGTTACAGGGGCGTAACAGACGTATTGATCCGTCAACGGTACTGTTGTTTGAAGATGTTTTCATGGCAATATAAAACAGAGAATATAAGAGAATAGATAATAGGTTAAAGCAGCTTGTAATACAAAACGTAAACTATTAATGCCAAGATTTCTTTATTTAAACAACATTTCAAAATTAACACTGACTTTATTTTTCTGAAAACATTTTTAATTGGGAACCAACTCATCACATTAAAAACCTTTCAGGAACACTGACATTAACTATTTACAGTGGTGTCGAGAACCATACTTTACACGTAACGGCACCCATAATGTCAGAAACACTGGTTTGGTTTGTTAGAAATATATTTCCTATACAGATCATGAGTTTTGTGTTTTCTAACAACTTTAATTAAATGAAAAAGTGGTAAAATGTTCAGATTGACCATTAGTTTCTGACCGTGGGAACATTAAAACAGTTTCGCCACAGGGCAATCCCATAACCTGACCATAAATAAACTGCTATTTCATTTAATATCAGGAACAGCTGACTTGAAGATTAACCTGAAAGAGAAAACTTCCTTCAATCATGCAGACAAACAAACAGCAGGTGTTTTTAACTTGAACCTCCATCGGACTAAGGTTCAAATCATTGTTAATACTGTTAAACATATAGACGCATAGCAAACCAGTAAATACTTTTGAGTCTGAGAAACATGTACAAATCAAGGCCTAAACAAAGAAACTAGTGCCAGTAGTCTATGCACACGTCGATAATAGCAATACTTCAGTGTCCGCATCATGAGTGCAAAGTTAAGGCGTCAATAAAGTCAAAGCCTCATGAAAAGGGTCGGCCCTGGTCAGATCATTCCTTTGGTAGGAAGTTACCGTTCAGACTTTCTGATTTGATTGTTTGGCCAAGACATCTTTCTTCTGATTTGCTTCCACCAACACATGAGCAGGATCCCAAAGGAAGTTGTATTGAAATCCCCAGTGGCAAATGAAAAGTGTCATACAAAATATCCATATTGCTATGCTGTTTTGTGAAAGAAATCCTAGAGACGTCCCATAGTAGCTGTTAGCGCACATGACAGAAAAAAACGAGTTTTCGTAATTTTTTTATAAAACCACAGGCTGGTAGTCCAGCAATCAGAGGGTCAATGGTTTGATCCCAGAAATGTATGCAAGTCATTTGGAGATAAAAGTGTCTGTTAAATGTTATGTAATGCAAAGTGAATATACACTCACTGCCAAAAAAGAGTTTATTTTGAATGGCCATCCTCAGGTCCGAGCTGTAGAGTGTGTGTGGCTCTGCATGTGGTAGTCCAGAGATGCCCTCTGACTGAAGCTACAGCTGCACTCCAGGCACTGATAAGGTTTATCCCCTGTGTGTTTCCTCATGTGAATCACCAGGTTTCCTTTCTGGGTGAATGATTTGTCACATTCTGGGCATTTGTATGGTCTCTCTCCTGTGTGTATCCTGGTGTGATTGACCAGGTCTGACTTCTGACCGAAGTTCCTCCCACAAAACTGGCAATGGTACTGTTTGTCCTCCGTGTGGATCCTTACATGTCTTATTAAAGTCTTATGCAAGGAGAAACATTTGGCACAACACGGACACTTGTAGGGTTTCTCTGCTGTTCCTTCTTCAAACTGAACTATGAGCTCCGTGGATTTCCCTGAAGGTCCTCTCGGCTGAATATCTCTATTGTTGAGATGTTTGGGCTCATCTTCTCCCTGTTGGCTCTGGTTCACTGAAAGGAGCAACTGACCATCAGTGATGCAGTCTGATACTCCATCAGCCGGCTCAGTTTTGATGTGATTGACTGTTCCTGCAGCCGAGGAGTCTTGTCCCATATCACACAGACTCTGCACTTGGTAGAGACACAGGGGCTGCAGAGACTCCTGATCAAACTCACTCTGATCATAGGGAGAGAAGGTAAGTGGGAAAGTCTTAATGCCAGGTATTTCCTGAGTGCAGTTCAGCTCTCTAATCTCACCAGCAGCTGTCACTGATCTGAGGTGAGTTTCTGCCTCCTCCTTCTCACTGAGACACTCATTTGGTTGTTCCTCAGTGTGTTTCAGGCTGTGGATAAGCAGACTATCCCTCTCGTCAAAACTTTCCTCACACTCTTGGCACTGGTATGGTTTGGGGCCTTGGTGTGTTCTACTGTGAGCGAAGAATTCAGACTTGTGGCAGAAGTTTTGCTCACAGATCTGACACTGGTACAGTGATGAACCGTCGCGTGGATGTTTTTTTAAGTGACGTACCATCGTCTTCTTGGAAGAAAAAGTGCTTATGCAAACTGGACATTTGAATGATTTATTCACAGCGAGGACCTTTAACGGCATGTTCGGGTCACACTCCGTCTTCCAAGAAGACGATGGTACATCATCGTCTGCAATATCCACTTCTATCTCATTATCGTTTTCTCTGGAAGGAGAGCCGCCTGAATGAGTGTTCATGTTTGGAAGGTGTTCAGCTTGCTCTGACGTGGCTTCTACTGCTTCCTCCCAGCACACACTGACGTTCACACTGGCAGCAGGCTGAAGCCGCACATCTGGGACAGACATCTGGAGAGAGTCTGAAGAAAAAAGGAAAGGAAAAAAACAACATTTATTTTACTGCTTTTGACCATTGGTTTTATTTTTAGTTCCTGTTTAGTACTTCTAATATAGACATTTTTATAAAATGTTGACTGGCTCAAAATAAGCAGTTTAACAGCAGGATCTTAAAAGTAATGTGTGTAGTCCATTCAAATAAATATATAATAAACAACTCTATCACAGAAAACTTAACACAAGATTCGTGTTATGATTTCCTTCTGTTAAACCCACCTTCACTCTGTGCCTTGGCGACATCCAGCAGTCTGCGGTGGCTGTCCACCACCCACTTTGAACAGGACATTTCTTTTTCATATTCTACAATTGTCCTCTCTACAATCCTGAAGATCTCCTCTGCAGCTGCAGACAAACGCTCGCTGACCAGTGTTCTCAGCTGCTCCATCTTCACTGCCCTCACCCTGCTGAGGTGATCTCCAAAGTGAGCGTCCGGGTGTGTGTGTGAAGTAGACATAAGGCCTCGAGCCTTCTTGTTGCTTAGTCGCTCCTCCTGAACTCTCTGTGTCCTCCAACCCTACTCTGCTCTGGCCATGTCTGCAAACAGACAGAAAACAGAACATTTATTGAAAACAATTATGATAATTAAGAAGAGATACTCAAATGTATGTGTTTTCATTTCTCAACTTTCTGTGACAGTAACATTTATATATTTTGTTTGGGACAAGCTCTTGGAAGAATTGTTGTGCTCTGGGTAACAGAGATAATCATTTCTTGCTATGTCCTCACATTTGAGATGAATCGAGTTCCTTAAGTACAAAAACTGATACTAGTGGGATTGTGGTTAAAAGTCAAAAATGACCGGTTTTCATTGCATGAATAGAAAATAACGCAGCTCAGTCTTTTATTATAAAAACATATTCAATATTACATTATATATTATAAATATAATGTACAGATAGAGCAGCACCCAAATACACTGATTGGGATTATGTAGAGAGATCTTTAGATAGGTAAATTATTATTGTTATTTTCTGGTTGAATAAAATATGAATTCATAAAATAATGTACCCTTCAATGAGCATTCGATATTTTTGGGAAATCAATTGATTGCTATGTTCTGCATTATACCCATATTACTGTAATTACACCAATATTACACCCATATTGCACTGTAATACTACTGTCATTAGTCCCATAATACACTGTTAATACACCTATATTAAACCCATGTAACACCAATATTACCCCATATGTCACCCAAATTACACTATTATTATACATTGTATACATGGACACAGCCTGTAAAATACATGTATCCCTCAGGATACAGAAACCATGTACAGGTTACGTCATGCTGTAACGGTTATTAGCTATATGTACGTTTAGTGGCAACCAAGGACAAAATAATGCAAAGACTTTTAATAAAGCTGTAGCTACATGTCGGAGTGACAACGTAATATGACCCTGAACAGACACTGAGTAAAACACTGACAGGTACATTAGCTTACCCTGCTGACTGTTTCTGTTAGCTCACTGTCTCATTAGCGCACTTGTTGTAATCGAGGAAGGCTACCTCACTTAGCAGCTAGGTCATACAAGAGCTACTAAGCGGAGAACTACTTACTAGAGAACATGACAGTACACTGATATTTCTAGTTTATTATGGTGCCCCTGGTTTCCCGGGCTTTAAACGCTCCACAGCTAACTAGCCAGCTATATGCTGTGCAACGTCATAATGCTCAAAACACAGCGTTAACTTCGGTTAGCTTCAGTTAGCTTGCAGAGGCTCCAGCTTCTTCTTCTAGGCTTGCCATTGATAGTAGGCGTAGTAACGACATTAGCGCCATCTACTGTTCAACTGAGAGCACACCGCTCTTTAGCAGCAGTTCAAATACTGACCAATCAGTAGGCCAACACTAAACTTCCATTTATGGTATAAAAGATAGTTGTCTACTAAGTTCAATACTCTGGGTTCTCTGGCATGAATGCATTTATTTACAATATACATTTCAATTAATATTATTATTCTAATTAATCTTAAAGCCAACTATTCTTGCATTTGAATTAAAGGTAGGGTAGGTAATTCACTTCAGAATCAAATCAAATCAAGTTTTATTTACATTGTTAAACGATTTTTGGTCGAGCCAAAGTGCTGTACATATAATAAAAATACCCTACAGTAAAGACACTTTACAGCAAATACAACAGCACAGTTTGTGCAGAATATCAGTATGAGAAAAAACGACACCCTCTGTCCTTAGACCCTCACATCGTACAAGGAAAAACGTCCGGAGAAAAACCCACAGTTTAAAGGGAAAAATGGGAGAAACCTCAGGGAAAGCAACAGAGGAGGGATCCCTCTCCCAGGACGGACAGATGTGCACAGGGCCGTATCCAGGATTTCCTAAATACCGAGGTTTTTGGGATTTTCATGATCTAGTTAGGTGCTTTTTAAGTCCTGTGGGGGGTCACAAATTGGATAATATATTGATTTCAAACCATGTCAGTGGCCTGACAATGTCAGCATACATTATTTTTGAAAGTGTAATACATCATAAGAATCAGTTGATTGTTGCTATCAATGATCTGGACATGCAGAAGAGGCTAAAATGATCACAACACATTGTCAACATTCATTTTCCATGTCTCTCTCCTTTCCATAACCTGCAGCCTCTCTTCCACCTTCTTTAGTCTCTCTGTCTTCTTCCTGTTCATTACTCTCTCTGTCCTCTACTCTCTCTCTTTGTTCAATCTCTTCCTCGTTGTTCACTTTTTGCTCCTCCTCACTTGTCGCTCCTGCCAGTGAATTTAAAGCAATTCAGCCATTTAGTTCATTTCACTTGTTTGTTTGCATTCTTTTTTTAATTTAAATCTGTTTTGTTTGATTCTCAAAAGAGAACAAAGATGTAAGCAAATTGTGTTTTATACAATTCTATGTTATTATGACATCATAACTGCAATAGATGTTGTATGTTGTATGTTAATGTATGTTGTTTTACAATTATGCGTTTATGCCTATTGTAAATGAAGACTATTGTTATAGATATATAGATAGATAGATGGGGTTATTAAGCCTACATTCTTCTGTCCGACTGTACCTGCAGTTCCTCCCTGACTTCCATCACTTTCTCTTTCTCTCTGCCTGTCCTGTCTCTTCCTTACCAAAGCTGAGCTTCGACTGACGTAGTCTTTTCATTATATCTGAGTCGGTGTAAAAAGAAAACAATACAATGTTATATCTTCAATGTTTTACTCAAATTGAAATGAAAGCATTATAACGTTTGTTAAAAGGTAATCCTTCTGACATTGGATGAATGTAATTCACTTTAGCTCTCTAGCTAGTTTATGCACGCAATGTAAACCAAAGTATAGCCTATAGCTGCAATATAAGTTAGTGTGCATGTTGTCGGACGTCCACTGACTAACATAGTGCGTTCACACCATGGATGTAGCTATAATAAGAACTGGATACAGCGTGGGAGGCGGGGCCTCATTCATTCCTATGAGAGTTGCTCAATGGCGCATGATGACAAAATGGCCCAACTTTTGAGAGACCGAAACGTCACAGATTACCCGGCATGCCTGAGAAGTACCCGTATGTGCACTCATAGAGCATGCGCAACTTTAACCACGCCGCCCAAAAGGCTTGTTCACATTAAGCACGTGAATTTGCGTACACGTAACAGCACCGCGCGTTCATGACAGCATGGTACTGGATTTATATTAACGAGGCGGCAGTTAGCAGCTAGCGGCTAGCTAGTAAATTATGCTAAGTTACACATTAATCGTTATGTACTTTTATATTACGCTGACATCAGGATCTAGTGATATCCAAGCAACAGAGTTTCATTTAGCATGATACTTGTGTGGGTTGTACATGAAACCACTTGGTAATATATAAAAATGTATATGTTGAAGCCTGTTATGATCAATTGTGAGTTAAAACTTTATCTAAAAAGTAAAGCTGGTGATGGATTACTGTGGTGGAGTTAAAATAACAATAGCCTATTTCTTTTTGAAATGTGATGGAGTAAAAGGATAGTAACTGTGATTATTCATGTTAAGTAGCCCACAAGTAACTAAACCAATTGCAAGTGCAATAAGAAGCTACAGGAACGTTAATCTACGTCGGTAATATTAACTTTGTTTAATACAAGATTTACGGTACAAGATTTACATCATACAGCCCATGTAGTATAATATTTTACAAATGATGAATTACAGCAAACATGTGCAATATATCCATTATTACAGCTCCGTGGGATGGCAGTAAGGCGATATGGTCCGTTGTTATTGTGCATCCATGGGTAAAGAGAAACTCATGTAGTACTGAACACGTAACATGAATGTGCCGGGCGGCGCGGTCCCGTGGGTTAGATGCGCGTTCATAATGCCAAGGGAAATAACTCTCAGAATAACGTTATTAGCACATTTTTACAACTTGAGGAACGAATGTTTTTAATAAGGGCTATACAAACGTTCATACTGGGTTGTTTATTTAGTTTAAAAAAAATTATCCAACGAGTTACAGATCACTCTTTCCCAGTGGCGTTTTCTCCTGGAGGCCAAGGGAAGCCAGGCTTCCCCTGTTTTTTCAGATTGTAGTTATAATTTAAATAAATAAATAAAAACACTTTGTTTTGTTTCGATAATTCTCCTTTGCTGTGTGTTGCTGCCGGCCCGTCTCTCCCCCATTCTCATTGAGTATTTTACAAAGAGTGAAACAAACAGCGCCCCTCTAGATGTTATGGTGAAACAGTAGATTGCACTCTCTGTTGTGAGAGGAGGCCAGCCGAATCTGGCTTCCTTTGGTGAAAAAAATTGAGGGATTGACCAATCAGATGAGGCTCACGTGATGCCCCTGCCAACCTGTGATTGGTCAGGGCCATGCCAAGGGAAGCCAGCCGCCTCTTGTTTCCCTTCAGAGGCGGCTGGCGGCTGGCGATTTGATTGGACACTGCCATCCAATCAAATCACATCAACATCAGTTTTAATACTGTAACTGTCATCACCGCCGTTAGAAATTATCAAACAAATGAACCATTATGGAGGGTGGAGATTTGGCGTACTTAATCAAACATAACTTTACTAAACTTCCGCTACAGCAGCAACTAAAAATTAAATCAGATGACAGGCCAATGCCCGCACTCGAGCTGTGTGTACACAGAGGAAAAAGGGAGAGAATCGGACGTTCAATGAGGACATTTATGTCCGCACGGAGTGGCTAACTGGAAGCGCTAAACTTCAGCGTCTATTTTGCTGGCCATGTCTTCTTTTTGACAAGGATTCGTGCTCCCTGAACAATCCTTGGGCAACTTCAGGATTCATCGACCTTGCCAACCTGCCACGGGCAATTGAGAGGCACGGTAAATCCAAAAATCACATAGATTGTGTGATTGTCTGCATACATTAATAAGTAAATTGCTTAAATTAATAAGGAGAGAGTTTTAGCTGGAGAGTGCGTGCGGACCTTTCGGTTAGATAACAGGCGTGTGCAAGTCCTGCATCTGTGTGATACAAATGTGTGTAAATGATACCGGGCACTGTAATCACTCATCTGGTTACGTTATTGAACGTTAACGTTACGTTATGTTACGTTTACGTTACGTTATACCGCCCCCCGGCCCAAAAAATGGGCTTCCCCTACATTTTCACCCACGCCACGCTACTGCTCTTTCCCCATGTAAGTCAATGGGAAAAAGTGTTTCCGGGCCCAGCAACCAAACGGAAGTGTAGTACCGCCGTTTGGCCACTACGAATATTCTCATCAGACTCCGGCGCACTTCCTGGGGGCTTGGTTCACACAGGATCTGCTGGTCATATGATGTCCTGATGAACAGAAACACAAGCAGCCCGCTGGACTCAGATCTCTAGATACCTCATCACTCCTCCGCTGTTCCAATACAAGTCCGGGCCCTTTCTCATTTCATCAAATCCCCCTCCTCGACTCCTCGACTCCTCGGTCCTCCGGTAATGACCCGGAAATGAATTTCAGCGCGCCATGTTGAAGGACATCTCATTTCTCTAAATGCACTTCGAGGACCGAGGATCGAGCGTCGAGGAGGCTCTCTGGAGGAGCTATAACCGAGGATACACTGATGGGTCCTCCACAGTCCTCTACGGCTCCTTCGTGGATGCATTTCCCGGGAACAGAGATGTTTCAAAAGAGGCTTCTTAATTCTTAAATTTCCCCTCCTCGACTCCCCTCCTCGAGACTTAAGAGGCTTCTCAATTCTTAAATGTCCCCTCCTCAACTCCCCTCCTCGACTCCCCTCCTCGACTCCCCTCCTCGAGACTTAGTCCCGCCCACAGGAGATGCGAGCGGAGGACCGAGGAGGGGAACCGAGGAGAGAGGAGGGGAAGCAGCAGACGTTTAAAGAAATGAGAACTCCTCTCCTCTGAGCGGTCATATTAAAGCGACGTCCATTCATTATTACGTGGCAACAGCTGCATCAGCTGTCGAGTGTTTTGTCATAGCGCTGTATTTTATAATCTCTGTTAGATCAGCTGAACATTGTTCCCCCACATATTTACTTTGAATTCATTGAGAGTGCGGTATAATGAGACAATAACAGGTTACAGATGCAGACACACACACACAATATATTTATATAAATATATACAATTTAAAGTATGAGAGCACTCTCATAATAACGTAACACAATCAGCAGACTCTGGATATATCCCCCCCCCCCCCCCCCTCTCTCTGGTCGCTGAAATGGGGAATTGAAATTACGGGCCAAAAGTTGTATTTACAAGTATTAAAAGTAAGCAGAGGACACCAAACCAACTGAGACCCGTCTG